TCCTACCACTCTCTCTAGTGACCCAGAGGCAGCCCTTTTCTGCACAAAAAAAAAAAAAAGCTCTCACATTTGTGGCTGTTTTCATGTAATCTGGCTATGCTGGTATATTCGCTACACACAAAAAAGCCCTTCGTTTTCTCCCGCGTACAACACACCCTCAACTGACCTTGTTCCCCGCGACGATTTCATCGTATCATAATGGGATCTGGGTCAAGGTCCAGTTATTCAGGCAGTGAGAGAGAGTGGCTGTAGAGAGCCAATGCGACCTCCCCCCTCTGCATTGCACAACTGCTTGGCATTGGGTGAGCTTTGTTGATTTTCTCATGCAAAGGAATATACTTTCTTTTTCTTTTTCATTACTCAGAAACATCCATCGCCTAGCATTGGCGCTCCGAGATGGGAGACCATTCATCATCCAGGTTAAATTATATTTCCAAAAGCAACGGACTTCCCGCAACAGGTACTTCTTTTTCTTGTCTTTTTTTCTGGGGCAACATGTACTTCTTCTTTTTTTTTTTTTTTTTTTTTTTTTTTACAAGGTACTTCAATTTCAACCTGCATGGAGACGAGCGAAAAAGAACAATAAGTATTTTAATTCGAACGGAGCACGAATATGGCAGTGAAACGTGTCGTGCCCTCGTTTCGTGTGCCAACTACTGTTTTGGAGGCTGGAGTAATACTGGCAAAGAAAGGTCTTGCTAGAGCTCTCCCAAAACCAAAAAGATTTGGCAAAGTTCGGTAATAATAGAACCGCGAGACCTTTTAGCCTTTAGAGTATCGTAGAAGACAAGCATCAGAACCTCCTGCATCATGGAGTGAGCCCTTTCCCCCCATTGCGAGTGTTAGCCTCCACACACCTATCTTTCATCCAGAGCCAAATCTTGGCATTCTTCTGTGCGGACCACACAATGTGATGCATCTTTTTTTTTTATGTCAGAAAAGAGAGAGAGAGAGAGAGAGAGAGAGAGAGAGAGAGAGAGAGAGAGAGAGAGAGAGAGAGAGAGAGAGAGAGAGAGAGAGAGAGAGAGANAGAGAGAGAGAGAGAGAGAGAGAGAGAGAGAGAGAGAGAGAGAGAGAGAAGCTGAGGTTCTTCACTAAATCAATTCAGCATTGTGTAGGAGGTGTCAGTAATAGGTTACGTACCGGTCCCTATATTCTCGTCTTTCTTTGAGCTGAAATTGAGCATATTGAGGGAGATAATGGCTATTTTGACTTAACAGCCGTGGTCTGCCTCTCTTGGAGTATCTGCCAGAAGTTCAGGGAAATGTCTGCGAATGTCCGTCATATTTCGGTACATGCATATAAATGGTAGATACTAGATACGTGTCATGCTCTCACTCCTCTAGCATCCACCCAATTTTACACCTGGGGACTGAAGGGGGAATGATTAGTGTCAGCACGTGTCAAACTGAGGCCGGAAAAAGGAAAGAGGAAGAAACTTCAAGAAAGGCACTCAGTCTGTTAGAAATCGAATGATTCTCAGGAGATTGTGGTGGACCCTGCAGATGGACCAAATGCGCAAATTTAAATATAGTTGGCACGGTCATAAGGACGTACTACGGTAGGCGTGTGCTCCACAGGCATCTCTTCCAAGAAAATCTGTACTTTATCAAGTATGGCAGAGAACCCGGAATAATCTGTTGGGCTTCACCTACTGGGCGGGACAGGGGGCTATCACGGAAAGTGTGCCCCACGACCAGCATGATTTTGCTGACAAATCCGTGGAAAGGTTCCCCGTATATTCCTCCATATATTCCACAATTACCCGTGTTGCGGAAATACTTGGCCAACGAGGCCAGGGATGCAAGGAAGAGCCTAGCTCAGTGGGTACACCCATGCACTGTTGAAATCCAGACCCCAGTTCGAATCCAGATGATGATAGAAAAACAACCGGTCAGTTCAATGATAATATCTCAAGGCCGTCGCCCTTTTAAAAAAGGAAAAAAAGAGGCGAAGGATCACCCTCTGAGTTCCTGGGAATGGCCCAGCAGCCGGCAGATGCGCTTCAAGCTGGTGGACTGAAAAAGCAGTGAATTGGGGTGGTGACCGCATCAGGATAAAAGGTTAGGGAAACGCAATGGAGCCTGGGATACATCTGGGGACTTCCCCGAAGTAGTAGGCCGGTGGAGCACAAGCCATAGTCATAGGCCATTCGTAAAAGTTGGAAACTGCACGCCTGGCTGCAGTGCTGCACTACTCACCAAATGTTTAAAATAGCATGACATTGACAATGTGTATCTTCTTAGGAAGGTGGAAAGACACAGCCCTTAGTTTTTTGTTGTTCGGATGTTAGGAGAGAGCCAGGCACTGATCCGACAATAAGTAAAAGTATTAAAAACAATCACAGGTACAGCGGGGTGGAAAAGCAAACTGGGACCCCACACAGGCGGGTTTCGCGGGTCTTTCCCAAGTACCACGCCAGATTTTTTTGGGCTTCCACCGAGACAGACGTTCCTGTGGCCTGCCATATGGCCTGGCCTCCAGCGTCGTACAGTTCTCTGCTCCACGGACGGACATTGAAAAGGGTGACTCATTTTTGCGGCAGCTTTTTTGGTAGGGGTAGGGGTCCTCAACCTTTCCATTTTGTGTAGCGCCGTTGGGCCGTTCATCACGGCCGACGGGCCACATACACATGAACCGAAAACGTACCCCTCACAAAGCGTGGCGCCCTGTGATTTCGGAAAGTGGTGGGATCCGCGTTTCTCAATGAAATTGGCTAACTTACGCACTGTAGGGTCAGAAGCTTACTGTGGTGGAACAAGGCGGCCCTGCTATGTACAGAAGGGACCCTGACGTCAGTTGCCGGTGTGTGCAGCTCCTGACGAATAGAAAGGAGGGGGAAGGGGACGGTTGGGACACACAAATGGGAGCGGTATGGAGTGAGCAGAGAGCAAAAGAGGCACAGAAGAGAAAAAAACTGTTAGAAGTTACAAAGGCATCAGATCTCAAACTTCCACATCCTTTTGCACACATAGGCCACCAACACAATAAAACGGCAGAAGCATTCTCAACGGGTTTTGCCACTGTCCAGCCAGTTCATCAGGAGGTCTTCATAGCTTACTACTGCCTTCACCCGAATGGAACGCCCAGTCATTATAGCAGTATTTGGCACAACTTTCGGTCCAGCCTCCAGGTGCAGCAATAATGACCGAGCGTTCTGTTCAGGTGAAGGTGGTAGCTATGTCGCACCCTTGGCGGCGGCCAAGGAGGCCGCCACAACCCCGCGGCCGAGTTTCACATGGCTGCGTCATGGCCAGGTGGAGCCGCGCGCCGGCTGTCGGGGCGCGCGCGCCACCTGCACATGTTGGCCCCTGGCTTCCCCGCCAAAAAAAAATAATAATAATGAAAAATAGGGGGGGGAGGGGGGGGGTCATATATTTTGTTTTTAGAGGGGTTTAAGAAAAAATATAACCCCCCCCACCAATTGCGAATTTGAAATAGTGGCGGGTTTGTACGTGTTGCGCACCCCCAATTTGGCCAAAAAAAAAAGAAAACAATTGGTGAGGTGGCGGGTCTCTCTCTCTCTCTCTCTCTCTCTCTCTCTCTCTCTCTCTCTCTCTCTCTCTCTCTCTCTCTCTCTCTCTCTCTCTCTCTCT